ATAAGAGACTTATATCAGTAACGAGCAGCGTGAGTCCGCTACTGGTTTTTCTCACTGTAAATGGCTCTGGGAGAGGCTGATTCCAACAAAACGAACTAATCTCTGCATTTTCTGAGCGTAAGGGGGGGGGGGGGGGATTTACTGAGAGTGAGGAAATATTTCCCAGAGACAGCATTGTACCCAGCAGAAATAGATCAGCATCCAAAATCACGTGTAATCTAAATAGCATTTATACCGCTTTTGGTCCTTTTTAGAGTAAAACCACCAATTAAACTCTCCCCTAAGCACAATCTTTGTCTTTCTCTGCCTTTCCCCCACCCCCTCCCCCCTCTCTCTCTACTCTCTCTTTCTCTCTCTCTCTCTCTCTCTCTCTCTCTCTCTCTCTCGCAGAGAATGGAAAAGTACATACATGCCTACATAAAGAAGCAGATTCAAACAAACAGATTAACATAGAAAGAGTGCGATGGAGGAAGGATAAGGGAAGAGGGAAGTGCAGCCGGGAGGAGAGGAGAAACCCGACCCAACAGCTAACTTGTTCTCTAAGTTCTCTGCTTCGTACAAATTCTTTCTTTAAAAAATAAAGTTTTTTACAGCTCAGTTGAGCAAGCAGAAGAGTTCTTGGCACACAGAGATACTGTATTGTTAAGAGTAAAGGTCAAACTGAGAAATTCAAAGAGCTCTCAGTTTCTCAACAAGTTTTTGGATACTTTCAAAGTCTTTCTCCTCTACTGAAAGGGTTAGATAGATAGATAGATAGATAGATAGATAGATAGATAGATAGATAGATAGATAGATAGATAGATAGATAGATAGATAGATAGATAGATAGGTAGGTATATAGATAAATAGATAGATAGATAGATAGATAGATAGAGAAATAGTGTGTGTGAGGGAGGGAGGGACAGAGAGAGAGAAAGTGGCAGATAGAGAAAGGGGTAGAGGGGAAACATAAAATCAATAGTAGAAATCGATAATTATAATGAGAGAGTGAGAGATAGATAGATAGATAGATAGATAGATAGATAGATAGATAGATAGATAGATAGATAGATAAATAGACCGATAGATAGATAGAGAGAGAGAGAGAGAGAGAGAGAGAGAGAGAGAGCAATAGACAGAGATAGATTGCGAAATGTATAGAGAGGGGTAGCAGAACAGAGATCTTAAGGCAGTAGTAGATAGTTATAAATATATTAAAATATAGTGAAGACGATAAAGAAAGGAAGAGAGAGAGAGAGAGAGAGAGAGAGAGAGAGAGAGAGAGAGAGAGAGAGAGAGAGAGAGAGAGAGAGAGAGAAATACAAAGAACGAGACAGAGAAAGGATAGATAGATAGATAGATAGATAGATAGATATTATATAGATATATAGATAGATAGATAGATAGATAGATAGATAGATAGATAGATAGATAGATAGATAGATAGATAGATAGATAGATAGATAGATAGATAGATAGACACATACAAAATGAGATACTTACATATATACATAGATAAAGAAAGAGATAGAGAGATAAAGATAGAGAGAGAGATAGAAAGTATGTGTTTGTGTGCGTAAGAGAGATAGAGAGAAAGAGAGAGAGAGAGAGAGAGAGAGAGAGAGAGAGAGAGAGAGAGAGAGAGAGAGAGAGAGAGAGATAATGTGTGTGTGTGTTAGACAAAGAGAGAGAGAGAAACATGTTTGGGGAAAGGAATTTTTAAAGGTAAGGGGGGGGGGTGATTGGGACTTGGCGTAAAAGCGTACGACGGTTAATGTACATGTATGACTGCCTATCGCACGCTGTTCCTGTAAGCGAAGTAATAAATTTGCTTGGCCCGGGCACTTTCGGACTGGTATCAATGTTCCACTCAATGACAGACTGAGTGGTCATTTGTTCCACACTGATATGCCTCCCCATTTGGTCAGTCACAAAAGCCAGGTTAGTATTCAGAGACCGACACTCCAAGGATTGTGGTAAAGTCAGGAGATGGTAGATGCAGGAGTTTATCGTCAATATTTGGAACTGTTCTTGTGAAGGCTTCGTTTAGAAGGACGATAAGGATTTAATTTAGCAAAACCGCTGAAGGGAGAACGGTGTGTGTGTGTGTGAGTGTGTGTGTGTGTGTGTGTGTGTGTGTGTGTGTGTGTGTGTGTGTGTGTGCGAGGTCTGGGAGGAGGGGCGGGGGTATTTCTATTGATATGGATGCGTTGGAGTTTGAATATAAGTGTGTATGTCTGTATGTGTTTGTGAATGTGTGTAAGTGTGTGTGTGTGTGCGCACGCCCCTACACCGAGTGAGTGTGTGTGTGTGTGTGTGTGTTTACACGTGTTTTGTGTGTATTTGTGTATGTATTGTATATCAAAAAATATCGTGCACCGTATGGCCGATAAGCAAGAT